CACCAAAGGTTCGGGTTTAGTGAGAACGGGTAGGACAGTCTTTTGTTTCCGGAAATTCAATAGTTTAAATTCAAACATAGACAAACATCGAGCATACATTTCACTACAGTAATTAAAAAAAAACCCCACCAACAACTTAGATCTAATTGATGACCCATAGATACCTCGACCTCGTGACCTTGACCCCACCCTCGCCCTCTCCCTCCTGCTAACATCAGGTATTTAGATAAGCCAATACGCCAGGTAATTTTTTTTTTACATCTGACATCTTGTTGATGTACTGATTTGGTTAAAAAGCTGCGTCACTTTAAAATAGAAGTACCTAATTCCTTATTCATAATTTAATTAAGTTCATAATTAACTCGACTTAAGTATTGGCGTGGTTGGGTCGGTAAAGTTTATGGTTGCTAAACTGAAAAATCCAAAGTTAAAACCTCCTGGTAGACGAGGTTCCATAGCTGGGGACCAGAGGCGTAGCGATGGGGGGGGGGGCAGTGGGGTACATATGTCCCCGGGCGCCGACCTTAGGGGGCGCCAAAATGGGTTGTAAAAACAAATTAAATTGCCATTTTAGCTGCATTTTTGCGGTTTGAGGGGGGTGCAAATCGAAAATTTGCTCCCGAGGGGGCGCCAAATTGAAAGTTTGTCCCCTGGCGCCGGGGAGGGTCGTTACGCCTCTGCCGTAGACAACAACCCATCTAGGAGAGAAAACGAAAAAATCAAACAACTGTTGCCTTGTAGTTTGTTCTTGGATGGACAAATGCGGTCCAAAATTACAATCAAGAACGAAGGAGAAGAAATTCGACTTTTAATCTGTAACTAGCGCGAAATATTTTATTTTAAATGGATGCATATTTTATATGCAGCGGTAGTTTATCAACTCGATATATTCGTGTATGGAGGGGGGGGGGGGGTTATATCGAACAATTTTATATAAAATAGCCGTTGTTTTTCGCTGCATATTTTTGCCAAATGTTTGCCTTTAGCTATAATTTGATAGATCTTTGTCGACACTGCTTGGATCAAAGATCGTCAACATTTTAAAACAGAGATGTTAATAGATAAATTATCATTTCAATTGTTAGCGGTTTTTTAATTGTTAAAACATGATTTAAAACACGCTTCGTATGTAAACTACACACCCCCACCTCCCACCGACTATTTTCCTAGTTTAAATATCTTCTATTTAAAAAACGCCGCCATTATTTATTGGAAAATCCGCCGGTAGGCAGCATCTAGTGCTAGTCTCTACTCTACACGATGTAGGAGATATGAAGCAGTACATGGATGTAAACATGCGGCCATCAATCACCCACTGGACGGCCACCAAATGCAGGTCGACATGGCGACAGCCTGGGCATGTACCACATCATCTGTCACCTCGCTGTTGCTGGGGTCTGGGCACAAGGGGAAACAATGAATTGAACGACGCGAATCTAGGCACGCAGGGAGACAACACTGTCGTAGAAACAAAGGGACGCAACTTAAAACTTCCATCATTTCTTGTACTTGATGACTCCATGTTATGGTGGTTTAAAGATGATGTGCTGTAGAATAAATCTATAAAAAATTAAAATTTGTTTACACGCTTTAAACGGAATACTCATAAATCTGTTAACTAGTATAAAAATATGGTGTTTCTAAATTTTCCGTGGAGGCGGACACTGGGAAAATATATATTTTCTAAATTTCTATTTCGTCAGGGGGTATGGGGTCGGCGTGGTCGAGTCGGTAAAGCTCATGGTTGATAAATCGAAAAGTCTCGAGTTCGAAACCTCGGGCAGATGAGGCTCGTTAGCTGGGGACAGCCACTCTTCTATGAGAGACAACTCCAAAATCAAACAACTGCTGCCTTGTAGTTTGTTCTTGGTTGGACAAAGGCTATGGAAGCAAATCCAAAAAGAAAAACAGGCTGAAATCGGAGTCAATGGCCTCAATGGCGCATAACCAGTTGACACGTATCCTTAATTGGGTTGGAGGGGGATCCCTTCCAACACTAAAAATTAAGAACGAAGAAGAAGAAGAAGTCAGGGGGCGGCGGCGGTAGATGTTTCGGGACCAGAAGGGGGGGACCATGCCCCCCCGCCACCCTAACAAGGAGATGTCTGAAAGAAACACTGCTCATTCCACCCCCATCTCCCTTCCCCCACACCCACTAGCAATAATCAAACACTATAGACTGTGACAATCCATCAATATCCTCCTATACACCCTCTCGCTATTCCGACCCACACCACCCTAGGGCTACCCGTGCAGTTATGTTTATTGTTGTATACAACCCTAGGTTTACAAGTAAAATGTAGAAATATATTTAAATTTTTTTTATGAAGATGCAAAACGATAAAAGAATCACGCACATTTAAACCATTTCTTATAAACCTGCGACATTCGTTCGTGCTTGTTTATACTTACTCACTCATCGAGATGTCTATATTTAGCTCTGCTTTGTACCATGACCTAGATACACTTGAATTGACCTCTGACGTCATCACTCCGACCAACCTCTGTAAACATTGCCAGATTTTTTAAGCCCTACCTGCTTACAAAGCAGCGACATTTTGGTTCGACAAATTTGAAAGCAGCGACTTCCTGTAGTCACCCATCACCCCCCCCCCCCCCCACCCCACCCCACCCATTTTACCCGTTCGTTAATTTCCAGCCAATCCCTAACGGTTTCCTCATTGCTTTAAAAAATGCGAACACGAATTGAACCTGTAATTAAAATACAAATGTACCCGTCAAGTGTACACACACACACACCAATTGCACTTGTTACTTGTGTACACATCCACACAGCACTGATCACACACAGCTTTGTCGCACTCGAGCAGTTAAAAATCAGTTTACACAACAAATTCAGTTTCGATTTTTAAAACCCAAGTTTATTGACCTATAGGTTAATCGGATTCAGGCGGAGGTCAAGACTGACTTTTATTCGTTTTCGTATTATTGAAAAGTTTTGATACTCTAGCGAGCTATACCTAGGTGATTTAAAAAATGGTTTTGTTAATTTAAACCGTTAAACGATCATAGAGTCAGTGGCACCAAAAAGGGTGTGTGTGTGTGTGTGGCGGAGGGAGTGGGAGGTGAGGGCATAGACGAATGCTATGGGGAGCCATTGAGATAAAAAAACACTATTTACTTAGGACATCTGCTTTGCTCAGTTAAAAGGTTATTAAAATAAGACGCAGTGTAAGCACACGGTGACAACCTCATTGATAGAGATGGGGTGACACGATGCTGGTTACAGTTATAACTCAGGGCGTCACCCCATACATTATATGTATATATGTATATATGTATATATGTATATATGTATATATGTATATATGTATATGTATATATATATATATATATATATATATATATATATATATATATATATATATATATATATATATATATATATATATGGATAGCTAATAGGATATCTTAGGGTTAGGGTATATGTAATCTGTTAGATTTGGGGTTAGGATTTGGGTTAAGGTTGAGGTTAGTTATAGGTTTTTATCAGAGCTCTTAGGTAGGAGTCTCGAGGGGGGGGGGATGGGTAATTAATTACCAAGGGGGTAATATGTGTGTTGGGGGATGGAGAAATGTCCGGGGGGGGGGGGGGGTAATTGACTGGTTGGGTATGTCCTTGACCCATATCCATAGATTACCGCACCAGGAGTGTAGTAGTAGTCTACGAGATGCTCCGGTTACTCAGTATCAACTATGTAAGTCAACCACTACTAGCTACAATTACAGCTGGATGTAGGAATCTAAGGCGTGGGCGGGGTGGGATGGGGGGTGGAAAGAGAAGGAGTGGGGCGGAAGACTTATTATCTAATCTATTAGCCAACTATTAAATGTCTAGACACCGTAGTAGCAGCGCTCTAAAAATATTTAAACACCAGCCATCCCAGTAAAAAAACAACAACTCGCTTTGTCTCTAATTTCCATAGCTCGAGCGTCCTGCCTACTTGCTGACTTAATGAGCACGCCCTGAGGGGGCGGCTAGACAAACGACTGCACTTATTCACTTACAAAAACCCGATGTATTAAAAATATGCTGTATTCATTATGTAAGCATCGATCTGTAAGATATTGAAAAATACACAGTGAAAGGCGTTTTAACCAGCGAAGTTGGTCCGTGATTGTTCTCTACTGTTCTAGAAGTGAAATCCAATAAAATGGTGGGGCATTAATTTATAAGCTGTTCAGGGGCTTTAATATTTTCAGGTTGTCCACCCATACTACTTTTGTAGAATGTCCAGTGATATTAATTTTTAGGCAGTCCAGTGATATTAATTTTTAGGCAGTCCCGTAAACTAATTTTTAGCTATCAATTGATATTAATTTTTTAGCTGTCCAGTGATGTCAATTTTTAGGTAGTCCAGCAAAGTTAATTTTTAGCTGTCCAGTGATATTAATTTTTAGGTTGTCCATAGCCACACATTTCTAGACTTTCCAGGGGCTTCAACTTTAAAAAAAGTCCCATAACAAGGGCAGTGGTAGTAACAAAACAATGAACGCTGCTGTATTCCAAATACATAAATCTATATAATACACTAGACCTATCGACAAAACTCATGTGTTGTCTACTATTACCTGATCACCCTACCAAGGCCGCTAACTTGTATCACATTTCATGGGTTTGACCAGATGTTCCTGTTCAATTTTTTAAAAGCTCAACCTTTCTCTACCTGTACGTGATGTCATTCCGGCTCACTCCCCTCCCCCCTCTCCCCGTTTGTTAAGAATGACGTTGAACTTCTTAACACACAGCAGTCACAATGTCGCGAGCCTCAGAACCGGCTCTTCTCGTTCTCGCCCTCTCGCGTGAGGCAGCGAGAAAACATTTTTTGACCGGGATAGTTGAAATGTTGTTGCGTGTTCGCGAAATTTTATTCACAGTTGTCTCTTCACATATTTTTTTCCCAACAGTTGTGTCTTAAAATTAGAGCAGCCTCGTGTGTGATATTCCTCCCCCTTTCCCCCCTTTCCCTCGGTGGTTTATTAAAAAAAGACCCCACAATGAAAAGAAGGGGGCTCCGCCTATGGTGCGGAAATTAAAAAAAGGGGACATAACTGCTACCTTGTGCCTGCGGATAAGACAATCAGTGTCTGATTTCGTTGCTATGTTGGTAGGATAACTTTCTCACCTAATGACGGTCCGATGAATGAGTTTACATGGAATTATGTAAGTTTTTATTTACATCATTTCTAATATCTTTTATTTTGTGATCTATTTAAGATTTGTTTTCATACATAGTCATTTACTTTACCCACACTACGCTTTCGACGCAATCGTGCTTTTTTGGGTTAATATTAATTGAAATATGCAAACTGCTTCATAACACAGACGTTGGATTCAATTAGAGGCGAAAATTAAAATACTGTGGTTTTATACATTATTTTAAAGTTAAGACATTATGAATAATGTATAAACTATTGAATGATTAACCTTACTTTACCAGTTAAAAGCTATACTTGTCTTTAAATTCTTATGCTTGATCATGTTTGTTTGTTTATATTTTAAAAATATTTTTAAAAAAATTATCTTACAAGTATGTAGCAGTGTTAAAGAAATCCTTTTCTTATTAACTAGAGTTCTCGCCCATGGAACCTAATTCCTTCCCCTTAATACTAAATTATAACACTATTTTCTAGACATATTATCTGACCCAAGAATGATTGTGGGTTGGCAGTTGGCAGTCTAGACTTTATTGGCCAGTTTTATATTGTTAAGCCGCATAGACTACTATTTTTGATGTTTCTTTTGTATTGACATTTGACTTAAAATCGATATTTAGTAGCTGAAATAAAACTTAAGATGTTCGCGTATGTTTTCGTGGACGTGCTAGCGCACGATATAGACAGGGGCGTAGCTAGGTAGCTATTGGCGGAGAGGACGGCGCCCCCTGGGGCTAACTTTTTTTATAAATATATTATAAATTTCACTGAAGATGAGGGTTTATCAAACTGTCAGTGCATCCTATTGACACTTTACGCTTCAGGTGGAAGTATACCAATGACAAGTTACGGTTATCACGTGACTGTGATGTCAACTATCAGCTAGAAATTTATCCCAAAAAACTCGTGCCAGCGTGTACATGTGTGTTTACATCATGTTGCTATAGAAACCCAACCACGTGTGTCTACTCTACTTAACTCAGCGGAGATTTTCTTATAAGTTCTTATAAGTTCTTAAATACACTCACCACTGACGGGGTGGTGGTGGAGGGGGGGGGGTATCTTTAGCAGACAGCTACTTCCGGGTGTAACGGTTGCCATGGACGCCAATAAACACACAATCTTTAAACTGGAACCTATAAAGCACAGTGGAAGGTGAAGCACGTGATCTCTGACCACGATTAACTGACTCGTCTGGTTCTATCTTAACGCCCTGAGCTCTAATGGCTTTACACTTACACATGGCGGTGGGCTTGTGGTTATCTCGTCATTGTAGGGCACATTTATTTTAGGTTCACCCGTGAATACATGCATATATATATATATATATATATATATATATATATATATATATATATATATATATATATATATATATATATATATATATATATATATATATATATATATATATATATATAGTCTAGACTCACACGCATACAACACACTTTCAGAAACACCCACACATACATAGATAAACACACACACACACACACACAGTCTCTCTCAATCTCTCTCTCTCACACGCAAATATACCCGTTCTCACACACGTTTTCACACACAGACTTTCAATAACACACATACAATTTTACTCTCTTTTCTCTCACAAGCACACAAACACACGCTTTCACAAACACTCACACACACTTATTTACACATAAATACATATAAACACATAAATACGCAGAGGCGTCACGCGGCGGGGTCGGTAGTAGGGGGAGGGGGTTGCGGATCGCACCGGGTGACACAATTTAGGGAGTGACACCATGGCAAAAAATTGCAAAAGACATAAAAGAAATATGCTTTTTGCCAGTTCAATTAATGATTAATTAGAGTTAATCCACCTGCATTAATAACCGACTATTTACTGTGTATACTTAAAACTACTACCCAGGGAGGTACCGCACCGGCTGACACGCGACCCAGCGACGCCACTGTATATTTGCATTTTTACAGACTATATATAAATATAAATATATTTTACATGCAAAAGCATATTATATATGACCTATATATATATATATATATATATATATATATATATATATATATATATATATATATATATATATATATATATATATATATATATATACATATATATATATATGTATATAATGATGTGTTAAATTAAAAAAACTTGAGAACACAAGTTGTCCTGCCGTACGCCCTTAAGGCCTTTGTCCCTTGTTAAGTGACAAAACGTGTCCTAATTATTAATGGCTGGCTGGCTGCTTTCTTGTGTAATTAATGTCCTGTTTTAATGAACAGAGTAAAATGCATAAAGAAAGATTTAGTTGGGATTGTGTGAAAATTAACGTGTGTAGACAGAGGATTAAAAGTATGAGGACATAATATGTGTACAGAGGATTAAACTTATGTGAACAAAATATATGTGTACAAAATATGTGTACAAAGGGCTAAGTGAACAAAATATGTGTACGGATGTACAAAGGTTAGGTGTGAACGGTAAAATGTTTAGCTATAGATGTATAGAATAAGACGTACAAAGCTTTAACACCTTGAGTATATCTTGATGACCGCGCCTGGCGCCGACCCTATGTGGGCGCCAACTGAGGGGGGGGGGAGCGGTGCTTGTTTCACCAACTTGAATAACTATATGTATGAATGGGAGTAGAGGGGGGGGGGTCACACAACATTGATAGTTCGTCCATGGCGCCGGAATGGGTCGCTACGCCTCTGACAATACTTGCATGTAGTTTTATTAGTTGGCTGCGTGTGTGTTTGGGGAGGGAGGATAAAGGTCTGTGGAGTGTCATCTGGCCAGTGTTTCTACAACTTTTTTCTCTTGAAATTTTCGGGGGGGGGGGGGGGGCGGTAGATATTCTTCGGGGGGGGGGGGGGGGGCGGACACTGTTAAAAGTATATATTTTCTATATAAATTTCATTTCGTTCGGGGGGGGGGGGGGGCGGAAGAAACTCTGCATCTGGCGCCATCACTTTACACGGTACGCGCCCTCATAGGACTGACGCCACTGACATTGGTGTTGCACGTGATGCTAGCTATACGACACGCTACAACAAAATCTACCTGTTTAAAAAAAATTCTTTATTATTTACCTTGAGGTATAATTTTTAAAATTTCAAAAAGATAAATACAGGAATTCACCTGCTTGTTAGTACACATAGCAGTTCGAGTTCTCTATAAAGATAAATCAGTTCCCTGCTCTGATAAAACCACAAACCAATGACAAGGCTAAAAAGTCAAACGTCACTAATTTAATCATTACATAAATCAACACTCGGTACGGTTAAGCACATCGGACGTTAGAATTTCCCTGCCACTAATCCCACAGGTAAAGTTTTATTGCGACTTTTCCCACTGGCGGAGCCATCTAAATTTACTTATGCTCGGCCCCCTGGCGAGAAAGGACAAACCTAGGGCGTCAACTCTGTCTGGATGAAATAGACCTGCCCCTTGTTAGATACCTGATATGTGGTCATGAATGAACAGCACTGAGATTTACCCCATTTTCCATAATCTCCCTTACTCAATGACGGAAAGGGTGCTGATAAAACTAGCTAAATTAAAGATGTATTGTCTATTTAGGTGAAACAGCTTGTTCCAATGAGGGGCAATAACTGGCCCCCAGTGAGGGGCAACAACTAGCCCAAAGCTAGGGGAAACAACTAGCCCAAAGTTAGGGGAAACAACTAGCCCAAGGGCTAACAACTGGCCCCAGTAAAGGGCAACAACTTGCTCCCAATAAGGGGCAATAACTGACCCCCAGTGAGGGGCTTGACGAATGAACGTAGATATGAAAAGATAACACGTCTTAGACAAGGAACAATTAAGTCTGTTGTCATTCATGTGTGAGCTAGATTAGACTTCCGCTCACCCCTCTAAGCCAAATACGTCATTGATTTAACTCAAGGAAAGGACCTGTGAATGATGTTAATATCATTAGATTTTTTATCCGACGTTTTTAAACATATTAAATTGAGGTCAATGAAATACTTTGTCCACTCTAAAAATATGTTATCCAAATACGAAAATAGAAAAAGTTAACGTACGGTTAAAAAACAACATAAATACAAATGAATAGCCTCTTACAATCTAGTAATAATTGCAGATTATTGAGTTTATTTAGCAGTTGTACATATTATTTTTTAAAATAAAAGACTTAAAATTGTACAGTATTACTTAATCACATACTAAAGTAGATTTATTTTTAAAAAAAAGTCCACAAGGGGAGAAAACTCCCAACATTTAACCGATGAGAGTCATCGACCCTGTTATCCTACATAAACGTATTGATTGTGAGATTTGCGACAAACATTTTTCAAGATAGTCGACCACATCCCATTGTGTGGGAAGGTTTGATCCGATTAGTGTGGGGGTGTTTGATGTTACGCTAAGATTTAAAAGGTTTATAGTATTCAACAAGCGACAGCAGCTTGAGGCTTCAATATTCAAGCTTTAGATTGTATCTTTTACCAAGCCGCTTAGACATAAACATCACATCACCTATCAACTAAAACAGCACATAGCCTATAGACATTATCTCTAGAATTCAAAACCACACCTCGTATAAACTAAAACAGGGGTCTCCAAACTTTTCAGCCCGAGGGCCGCTTTAACTATCAAAAACAAGTTCGGGGGCCAGAAAGCTCTTCGGGGTGTTTTAAATTTACTGGGCAAAGTTCCTCAGCCAAACATTTTTTCCGTGGACATAAAGACCTTCGCGGGCCGGATGAGAGGACCTCGAGGGCCGCATCCGGCCCGCGGGCCGTAGTTTGGAGACCCCTGAACTAAAACATCACGTAACGTATACACTATAATATAGACTTAAACATCATATCACCTCAGTAGCGTAGCGAGGGGGGGAAGGGGGGGGGGCGCCAAAATGGGTTGGAAAAATAAATTGAAAGGTTAAGGGGGTGCAAATCGAAAGTTTGAGGGGGGTGGGTGCATATCGAAATCTTGAGGGGGGTGCAAATCGAAAGTTTGACGGGGGGGGGGGGGGGGGGTGCAAATCGAAATCT